TATTGAATTTACATACAAAATGACGTGACACTTTATTCTCCATTCATCTCAATTTAAAATACTTATTATTTCAACTTATATTTTAAAAAATAACACAATTATATTATTCTGATTCAATTTTTTTATACAAATTTTGTTTATAAATTTTTCTTAATTTGTCAAATTGTGTTTTTTTTATCTCATGTATTACAATTTCATTAGTTTAATGATTTCACCCCTCGTGTTTATTATTAATATAGTAATCATTGATTAAATGATAAATAAAATAAAATATATTAAATATTTTATCACCTAAAATTGTTTGTTGAGTCTTAATCTGTGATACCCCTGTTCCGTAATATGCTAAATTGGTCCTTAATTTGAATATGATTATGTGTTTAGCATGATTTTATATGCCATTATGTGAATATATGTGATTTTGCAATTCTATCTGTTCACTGTAGGAATATCTGTTTGAGTAAACTGCTTTGGGAATTGAATTGAGGGCCCTATCGACCAACTATTTTATTATTATAATATTGGCCTTAGTGGGTTTTGTTGTCAAGGCTTTAAACACTCAATCTCTCTCTCCCTAGCCTCATTTTGACTGATAATAAACTCAAAGAAGAAAAGAGAGGGTCGGCTGGAAGAAGGGAGAATAAGAGATTGAGGGTTGGCTTAAAGCTTAGAAATTTTGGAGGTTAAGCTCAAGAATTGCCATAGTTTGTGAAGATTAAACTCTTTTGTGAGTAGTTCATGCATTTTTAGTCATCATCTTGTGAATTCAAGTTTAATAGATGGCCAAGAGCATGAATTAGTTTGAATGTGAAGGGATTGAGTTGTATTTGTTGAATTAAAGCTTAATATGTGCATGCATGTAGGAAATCACCTTGATATTGCATGTTTGAGCACAAATGTGTATAATCCATGTGAAATGGTAAAGGAAACTCATGTCTTGATCACCATTTGTGTTATCTAAGTTGAGAGTGTGGCTAATTCATCACATGCATGAACAATTTGAGAAGATATGAGCTTGAATGCATGAGTTTGTTATGTTGGTGTTGAGTTTGTTATATTTTGGGACATGCATGTAGATAAATCAAGAAATTGAGCTCCATAATGTTATAATCTTGCATTGGTGCCATGTTGATATGATTATATTTGAAATTTGAGCCATTGCATGCAAGTATTGTGGTTGAAAAGCCGAAATGAAGCTCAAGAATGCGATTCTGGGTTTTTCAGAATTTTGAGGTCCGCTCGAGCGGGAAAATCGTGCTTCCAGCACTTTTTGCAAAGTTGGATATCCGCTCAAGCAGGATATCTCATGTTCGAGCGTGGGGTTTTTGTAGGCAGGCCTTCCGCTCGAGCTCTCTATTACACGCTCGAGCGTATTTTTCATGCAACTAGTACTTTTGCAGGCCTTAAGGGTCCGCTCGAGCGGGTAAGTCCACGTTCGAGTGGGGACCCTGTTTTCTGAAATTTTGTTCATGCGTTCTATGTTTCGTTTTCCGTTCACTTTCACTTATGATCACTCTTAGGCATATGTTTCGCATTGTAAATGAGTTAGTGAGATATAAATAAAGCCTAAAGAGGAATATGTGAATTAAAGAACGGATCGAACTGTTAGTGACCTTTTTGTGTTCATGAAATGTGTAGGGTCAAGCTCCAGGGCAATCCACAAGCCGATCACTGTGAGTAATATCAATATTTGAAAGCTTGTCAATGTCCAATTGTTTATTCCCTTATAAACTTTATGAGTTATTAATTGGGATTATGGACAAAAGTCTGACGTGAATGAATGAATGGACCAAAGGTCGTTTTGATAGAAATGAATGGACCGAAGGTCGTTTTGATGTAAGTGAATGGACCGAAGGTCGTTTTGATGTAAATGAACAGATCGAAGGTCATTTTGACCTATGTGAATGGACCGAAGGTCGTTTTGACATGAATGAGTGGGCCAAAGGCCATTTTGACGCAAATGAATGGGCCAAAGGCCATTTTGACAGAAACGAATGGGCGAAAGGCCATTTTGACAGAAATGAATGGGCCGAAGGCCGTTTTGACATAAATGAATGGGCCGAAGGCCGTTTTGACAGGAATGGAAACCTGAATGGGCCAAAGGCCAGTATGTTGGAACTTCAGTCACTTGACCTAAATTTTGTATAAGTATATATATATGTTAAGTAGAAATGTGAATTGGGCCCGAGGCCGTTTGGAACATGTTGTTCTACATTGTTATGATTGGGATTGTGGACAAAAGTCTGACGTGAATGAATGAATGGACCAAAGGTCGTTTTGATAGAAATGAATGGACCGAAGGTCGTTTTGATGTAAGTGAATGGACCGAAGGTCGTTTTGATGTAAGTGAATGGACCGAAGGTCGTTTTGATGTAAGTGAATGGACCGAAGGTCGTTTTGATGTAAGTGAATGGACCGAAGGTCGTTTTGATGTAAGTGAATGGACCGAAGGTCGTTTTGATGTAAGTGAATGGACCGAAGGTCGTTTTGATGTAAGTGAATGGACCGAAGGTCGTTTTGATGTAAATGAACGGACCGAAGGTCATTTTGACCTATGTGAATGGACCAAAGGTCGTTTTGACATGAATGAGTGGACCAAAGGCCATTTTGAGGTAAACGAATGGGCGAAAGGCCATTTTGACAGAAATGAATGGGTCGAAGGCCGTTTTGACATAAATGAATGGGCCGAAGGCCGTTTTGACAGGAATGGAAACCTGAATGGGCCAAAGGCCAGTATGTTGGAACGTCAGTCACTTGACCTAAATTTTGTATAAGTATATATATATGTTAAGTAGAAATGTGAATTGGGCCCGAGGCCGTTTGGAACATGTTGTTCTACATTGTTATGTAATTTCTATATTTGATATTATTCACTGGGCTATTGCTCACGCTCATTCATATGTTTGTAGGTGAGCAAAGCGAAGTCTAAACCCGGCCCCAGTGAAGTCTGCCATGAACAACACGAGTTTTGGAGAGTCAGCCTTGTGTCTCACACGCGAGACCCATCCTTGCCATTTTGTTATGCATCTACGTTTTGTCCTGTTGGCAAGGACCTTGTGTATATTTGTATATAGTCTGTTGTGGGTTGGCTCAGTTTAGATGATCCTGTCTGTAAAGAAGTTTATGCTACTATACTTTTGATGTGGGTTATTAACGTATATGAGTATAGTTTGTTTGATGTGCATATAAGCACGGCTCTATGGACAAAGTTTTATATTTTTGCTTTCGTTTGGCCCCTTTACTCTGACGAGTTATGTCTGTTTTGGTCTGAGGCCGTAGGTAATCATAGGATTACTGGCCGGTTATGTCCTTAACCCATAGGGGCGGGTTCGGGTCATGACATAATCCTTAGCAACATGTAGCTAGTAGTTTGATATTCAACTAAGTAATTAGTGAAAAATTGAATTTGATGAAATGTGTTTCTATGATTTTGCACTATAAAATAGTTGAGAGAAGGCTCTACTGAGCTAATGATGCTCTAAAATCATTAAGTTACTTCTCAAAATAAAGATATGTATATGTTTTGAAATGAAAATTTTCATTTCACACTATAACTATTTTTATGATCAATTTTGTCACAAATTTTATGGTAGACAATCGTTTTAACAAACTAGAAAAAGTATTTTGTTACATGATTCAAAATAAAATTTTACTTTTTACTTATGCTATATTTGGGATTAGTTTATCTATTTATTTATTTAAAAAAAAAAGATGTGTTAAAAAATTTATTTGTCGAGTTGGTATTGTTTAGAAGAATTTCAGAAAAAAAAAGTAAAATTTTTATGAAAATTTGAAGCAAAATAAAAAATAAAAAAAAACAACTTTTAAAACATTTTTGTTGTCAACTTCTTCTAATTTTTTTTTTTCTTTTTTATTTTTCAAGTCCATCTACTCAACCTAAAAGTATTAAAAAAAATTAATTAATTAGTTAAAAACCAAGAAAAACAAAACAGTGGAGTAATAAAAATTCTGTAGGTGATTTTAGTAGTTCTATTAAAATAAGGCAAAGCGTATCTCACTTTATGTTAAACTTTAGTGTATCTCACCATATGCTAAATATAGTTTATTTAAGCATCTCTTGGGCTCTGGTTAGAAGATTTAATGAAATTTGAATAAAAAAAAAAAAGAAGATTTAATGAAAGAAGAGAAAATAAATAGAAAAATAGAAAAATTTGATTGGATTTGAATTCTAAACTACGTTGGGTTGGAAAATGGACAAAGAAAATAACCTAATCTTGTGTTTGGTTGAAAAATTTAGAAATGAAACGACAAAAAAAAAAAAGAGAATAAAAGTAAAATATGAATAAAATATACTTATATTTATAGCTACATTTTACTTATTTTCACACAACTTTTCCTTTTTCCATTTCAATTTCTTTCCCAAATTCCTCAAGCAAACATATCGTAAGTGAACTCAAAAAAACAATAAGATTGCATTTCTCACTTTTTTCTCTCTTGTATTTTCCGTTATAACCAAACAAAAAGTAAAATTACATTATACTTTCCCTTGTTATTTCTCTAATTAAATCCTCCAACCAAGCAGATTCCTAGTATCCTCATCACCAAAAAAGAGTATGGAGGACAAAACCCATGCAAGCTCCACCCCAGTGCGTGCTCCCCCCATAGCCCAAAGCCTCACCAAAGTTACTTGTGTGGGCGTGGCTCTCACTTCCAAAACAAAAATAATCGATCTCAAAAAATCTAATAAAAATTATACACAATACTCCTTTGGGTGTGAGATACCCAGTACAGAATTTTTGGGTTTCTTTTTTTTTTTTTGATACCTATCATCGCTCAATCTAAAATGATGATAGATCTCACACAAACCAATGGCGGGTCACCTGCGATTGACAAGTCAGTCAATCGGCCATTGGTGGTGTGGTTCAGTTGCTATTTTTCCACTAACCCACCAACTGAAAAAGAGCTGACACATTGTTCAGTTGGAAAATGTGATGACCTGATTTTTCTCAAAATATCCGAACAAAAAAAGCAAGGTAATAATATGAACACAAGCAAAATTAAGAGAAATCTATTATATGTCGGGGCATAATACAATTCAACCAATTCAATTAAACATAATGAAACAAGCAAATGTCAAAAACTTTGATATGGAAATGACTATTGATTTGTCATCTTCCCCTTCAAAAAATGAATCATATATCTGAAACACACTTCAGCTGCCCAATCTCCACGTTGAGATTGATTGACCCCATCATCCATTTTAGCTGAAGTGAGAATATTTTTCAACCAATAATAATATGAAACACAGACAGGGCAATTCACCATCTTTTCTTTTTTTAATGACAGTACAGTTTGATCACTGAATCAGCACCTGCAGTGAATAACCATGGTTGCCTAGGGTGGAACTTGCAATCCATTACTCCTGTGAAAGGCAAAATGAATCAGAGAAGCCACCAAAATAATTTCAAACCAAATATTAGTAAGATACACTCTGGACATTTATATTCAGAGATTTCAGTATCTATATTCACAAGGTCACATCCTATGTTGCATGTCAGATTATTATTTCCACACAAATAGTGTACCTTTTGCAAGTAAAATCGATAGTAGAAGGTGCCAAAAGCAAGGACCTGGGTTATCAGTAGGGAGAGGCTAGTTCAATCCCAGCCAACCCTACCACATTGCCAATGAACCAAAAACAAAACTGGCAATATATAACTACTATTTTTGTAACTGAGAATCAAATGGAATACAATCATGTAATGAGTCAACAATAAAGCTCTACGAGAAGCTTAACAACCTGCCTCCCATGAGGTCAACTTTTTTTGACAAGTACAATTAGGCCAACTTAAGAGAGGAATCAGGGTTGGACAAGGAGCAAGCCAGCCCACTCACAGAGAGAACCATCTTCGGAATACATCAAAACGAGAACTAGACTTGACAGCATGCATATAATATATATCAATAAAAAATGACAGCTTCACAAAATAAAAACTTTGAAGACAGGCACATGTAATTGTTGGGGATCCAGCATTCCAAAGTCGAGGTCATGGGATTGACAATCCCCCCTCGGTAGAGGGCTCTACATATAGAAATCCAAGTGTTCCCTGATGAACGAAGGTGGGTGCCTAGCAGGTATCTATCAGTCCCCAAAAAAATAAAAAGGCCAATGACAACAGAATGGAGGAAATGATGCTGTAATATATATTTATTCCCCTTACTGCAAACAGTTAAATATACCAATTTATGGCTATCAACTAAATTAACTACTACTGATACTGAAAAATATAGTTGCATTGCTTCATATATAATCATACGTAAGGAAAGTCAAGTAGATGTTGATAATTATAAGCAGACCACTTTAACAAGGCATTTTGTCCCCTGTTTCATTCTTTTTCCTACTACACTTTTTTTTTAATTTTTTTTTAATTTTTGCTTTTCTTTTCCCTCAATTATAAAAAAAAATAACAATGATGACACTTTTTTTTTTTTTTTATAGACCATAGATTCAAGTTCTTCATGATCAGTACAGATTGTACCCTGCAAGAGCTAATACATAACACATAAAGGCCAGACGGACAGAGTTTTTACATGTATGATTAAAATCTGTGTTGGCAGCCTTCAGTTTATCTGCTCTCAATCCACGCAAGTAAATTATTATCAACCACAACTAGAAGAAGAACAACGTATAGACATTCACTAACCTCTTCCATTCGCACTTGCATGCCCTCGGAGAATTTCCAGTGGAACAATAAGAGGGTTTTGATTTAGATCAGAATAAACCATGCCGTGAAAAACATATGCTGTGCAATCATCAGAGCAAGACGCAAACAGAGGGTAGGAACGATGAAAGGCCACACTGGTAACATCTTTTGGGTGACATCTGAAAATTTGAATAACCAGATCAGAGCAATTATACTGAATTTAAAAAACCAAAAAAAAAAAATGAATAAAAAAAGAGCAACAAAAAAAAGGTACCAGACAAACTTTGCCCGCAATTAAATCACAAACTAGAGCATTATTGTTTTTACGCACATAACCTTTTTATGGATGTGTATATGCATTTAAGCATGCATGTATCTACCCATAAATGTAGTATGCACATGCACAAAAGTAATTTTTTCTTTTAAACCAATCAATAAAGTTGCACACAAGTTCACTTGGTCATAATCATTTATTTGCTCTAAACATACTCACAATACCGGGATAAACTTGTTAAATTTGATGTATAGAGAAATTGAGAGAATGAATTATGTATTATTGATTGATTGTATTGATTTCTATTACAATGATTCATGATGTGTATATGCATTTAAGCATGCATGTATCTACCCATAAATGTAGTATGCACATGCACAAAAGTAATTTTTTCTTTTAAACCAATCAATAAAGTTGCACACAAGTTCACTTGGTCATAATCATTTATTTGCTCTAAACATACTCACAATACCGGGATAAACTTTTGTTACTCAACCATATGTGTTGTAATTGCACAGAGGTTTCCCCCCCATTTTTTAGCCAACTGTGCACCGCTTTGGTGAAATACTCTCAAATATCATTCATAGATTTTGCATATTTATTTTGAGTCCTTTGCTGATAAAAATTGAAAGTGGCATCTGAATAGTTCCCACACGAAAGAAGTCAAGGTAACGTTTTACAAATAACATTTTTATTCTAGTGTTCAGGTTTGGGTTAGGGAGTGGGGAAAAAGAAAGAAACATACTTTAGAACTCTATAAGGTTTAGATGAGAGGTCCATATCAAACCAACACAATTTTCCTTCTCTGCTCCCCACAATAACATTATCACCTGCACAAAAAGGGCAACCCAGACATATTCAACCTTAAATCAATAGAAACACAACAATTTTAACATGTGATCATATGAAAAGTAAAGGTAACAGCACTGAAATTCATCTACCGAATTTATAATTTTATATATATATGTGAGCAAATAAAAAATAGAGACACACCACCAGGATGAATTGCAATGGAGGAAACTTCACGGAGCCCGGTTTCGAGCTTCTTGATGAGCTTTTGCTTTAACAAGTCATATACACGGATATTCTTCTTTGTGGAAATGAAAAAGATAGAACGGGTGGGATGGAAGGTTGATGACACTGGAAGCCCATGCAATTTGAACGGAAGTCTTTGGGTGAGTCTCTTTGAAAGTTGGTGTATCAATATTGCTCTCGATTCACGTAACAAACAAGTTAAGAAAAACCATATAGAAAACTAAACAACAGATACCTGTCTCTCAGATGCTACTCACATCACATCAATTATTAGGGTGGTATTACAACCAAATCAAGGCATGTACTAAAACCCAAGTGGAAAACTAAACCAACATATACCTGGGACGTACACTGTTTTGTCCAATTACTCCTGCTCAATGTGAAGAGCTCAGTAATTATGTGGTAAAAGAAAAATGTTTTGGAACTCTAATTCTTGGGCTCTAAAGCCAGCTCTAATGAGCTGGCAGTGGGCCCCACCTACTGTGATGTGATGTTTCGGTCTTGTTTTTTTTTTTCAACAATGATTTAGACCACTAAAAAACACACCACTAATAGCACTAATGCATTGGGATTGGTAAAAAAAAGAAAAAAAAAAAAGAAACAAGGCATAGAAAGCGAGCGGGGCCCACTGCCACATCATTAGTGGTCCTTCTAGTGCTTCATTTCTAGTGCTCCCAAGCATTTTTCTTTTTTTTTTTTCCTCCTTGCCATCTCATTAGTACTCCATTAGAGCACCGAAATTAGTGCTCTGAATCATTGCTGGTAGTAAATAAGTGTACCAATATCATTAGACACTCATAATTATATGCGCAAAACACTGAATACTCCTTTTCAGGATGTCACCCCCTTTTCACATGATACCAGAAAGACAAGCCAGCAACGAGTAAATATTATGGCCTGATTTCCATAAATAGGGCACTTTATCTCAACCTCAAAATCAAAACACTAAGCAGGATTCAGAAGAAACAGAAGTATGCACCATTTGAAATAATAATAATAATAATAAAAGGCAGCTTATTTGTTCAAAGAGAGATAAATCAGGATCAATAATAATAAAAGGCAAATTATTTGTTCAAAGAGAGATAAATCATGATCAAAATTAAACAAATGTAGGATGATGAGAAGACAAGGTAAAAGCACTTAAAACACCACCCATGAAGCCACTTTTCTGTAATCTCAGAAAGATCATGTCAGAAATTCAATGAACATAATAGGTGAAAGGATATCAGCCGGCATAACTGTGGAGAAGTAATCTCCTTTGCGATGCCATTCTACAGAAGATACAGTCTGCAAGACCACAAAAGAATAAGAAGCCTAAGTCTAGTAACAAGGCCTTCTTTATAGAATTAATTTCCAAGCAACATGGATATCAGATGAGTCTAACAACAATAGAATGAGGGACAATGAAATAGAAGTACCTTAAAATGCTTTAACCTGACTCCCTTGTGTATATCATCTTGAGCCCAGCTGACAACAGATGCGGCATTACCTATAAAATACAAATATAGGCAGAGTCAAACAATAGTCATTGCATATATAAGTTATATAACTGTCCAACCTGATAGCTAATCCACTCACCAGAGTCATCTGGTCCTGTGCGTGTCTCAACATGCAGAAGTTCTTTAATCCTTTTCTGTTCTTCTTCATTCCCGAATCCAGTGTTTAAAAGAAAAACATACTGTTCCCTGCAAAATTAATGGTAGTTAAATTATATGGCCAATCAACAAGATGCCCAGATTGGGGGGGGGGGGGGGGTTGGGGGGGGGGGGGGGGGAGAGAGAGAGCATTTAGCCTTACGCAGAAACAGCCAAGATAGGAAGGTCAGGTGCAGGGTTCCATGCTACATGCTGCACAGCTTCACCAAGTTCCCAGATTCTAAGGCATCTTCCACTTTCAACCTCCCATATACGCACAGTTCCATCACTTGAACCTATTGAGAACATAGTGGATAGTGAAACCTCATTCAAAACTTTATTTGTGAGTCCTGAAACTAAAGATACAACATAAATCTAAGAACAGCATCCAAACCAGAAGCAATCCACTGCCCAGAAGCTTCAGTAGAAATTGACATAACTGCACCCTTGTGACCTCTATACTCTAGATAACATGTTGTTGGATAAGGCTTAAGATCTTTACGACTTGGTAGCTTTGGTTTTAAAGACTCAGGGTCAATATTGATCTGGAAAAAAAAAAATGAAGGCATTTTGGATACATCATTATTGCAGAATAGAAGCAACAGAATCAGCATTACGAAACCCCAAAAAAAATATCAAATTTTGAAACTCATAGACAACACCAAAATTTTTTCCATAGCACCTTACACGTTTTTTCCGGACTCTAGGGCACAAATATAGGTCCAAACAACGTTCAAACGTTTCGTTGACAGCTTTCTCATATGCTGGGACACTTCTCAAAGATGTAAACCTAAGCGAACGCAATGCAACTAGATTAGGATCACAACTAAAAAGAGAAGCAAATGAACAAAATACTGAACAATGAGATTAACATGTACAATACCTTTTTGGAATAAATTTAGGTCGGTCCTCCTCAAACATAAGCTGATAAGAATTAATTTCTTCTTGGGTTGGAATATATTCTAAAGAAGGATTATAGGATTCCTCATGCCCTAAAAGCAAAATACACAGTAATTAAATGCCAAATCTGAGTGTTACTTCAAACAGGAAAAATAATGACTTTCCAGCCATGATTATAGTCAAACCAACATAATATACCTGGGAACTTTGGCTTTGGTGCAGGAATATAAGCCAATCCATGACCAGTCTTTTCTTTTGAGCTAGAATCATCTCCCCACAGATGATAGAACCTTGGTTCTTCTTTTGGTTTGTCAAATTTTATTAAACCCTTCCGAATTGCCCTCACATACTCAACAACCTATAGATTCACAAGAAACCACAATATTTGAAGATTGGAATTATATACAAGTACACAATTCCAACTAAATGCAATTACCAGCTTCCAATAGTCTCTTTAATAAGACTCACACCATCAATCTAATTCAAGACCTAGCCACGAGAATGCTTGCGGAAAAAAGAGATGTAATTATAGAGAAAAAAAAATTCAACAAGGACACTAGGAAAAAAAAGGCTACAAACACTCACTAAAAATGACAAAAACTCACTGCATTGTCATCTAAGAAGCATAGACACGGACACGAATACGCGACACGACACGGATACGACACGGTCACACTGACACGCTAATTTTTAAAAAATGCAGGACATGACATGTGGGGGACACGCATAAAATATATAATTTTATATATTTATTATATGTTATATATATGAATATATCATTCAAAGATAATAAAAAATGCAATATGATACTAATTCCTATAAATTTATATAGTTTTTGTTTTATTATTGTATCTTAAGCTGTTTTGTTCAAACTTATAATTAGTTTCACGTGTCTAATCAATAGACACGTGTGTTTAACAGATACATACGTGTGTCCTCCAAGTCTCTAAAGAGTGTCCGGGTCTTTAAAAAATATTAAACAATAGAACACGTTCTGAAGAGTGTCGGACACATGATAGGGAAGTGTCCAAAGAGTGTCGGTGTCCGATACGGACACGACACGGATACGTCACCTTCTTAGAAGTATCCGTGCTTCTTAGATTGTCATAGTAAATCTACTAAATGCAAATTCTCCAAGAATGACCTTGACTCATTGTAAAGAAATGCCTAGTACATTTGCAAACATCACCATTCTAGAAACTGAAATACCTCTAGGGAAGAAATTTTCAAACTGGGTTGGAAATACACAGATACAACAATACAATGTAATTTAATAGAAGAAAAACATATACTGAAAATAGAAAAAAGAAAATAATACACTCTGTGCCCTGTTATCTCGCATAATCAAAAAGTAATCACCTTGCTTGTTTCCACTTTTCAAAAAACACTTTTCAGAAAATTCTACTTTCTTATTTTTCGTGTTTTTTTATTTTTACTGAATTTTTTAAATATTTTAAGCAATTTACACACCTAACATAAATACACTTAAAAAGTAAAAAAATTGTAAAAAAAATCTTTTAAAAATTCACTAAATATCAAAAATACAAAAAAAATACAAGAATTCAATACATTTTTTGTATTTTTATGTATTTATTAATTTTTTAAAATATTTTTTCACAAATTTTTTACTTTTTAGATACATCTAAGTAAGGTGCATCTAAAAAAATATAAAAAATGTTTAAAATTTAAAAAATATTCACTAACAACAAAAAAAACACGAAAATCAAAAAAGTCAGTTTTCAAAAAATTTAATCCAGAAAGCTCAAACCAAACACACTGAATATGTCCCAGAGTATTCACCTTTTTACTCTCCCACTTGGAAGGAATAAATCGCCTCTTAGGTTCTGGTGCATTTGAAAGAGGATACTTTGAATCTTCCCAGGCAAACCAATCAACATAAGGCTGTATTCAGAACATACAGAACTTTAGAAAAGCTTCTGAGAAGAAAATGAGGTGAACTTAATATACGAGCGGCAGTATTTTCAGATTACTAATTCAAAAAAATTATAATATTTATGGGAACCATAAAGGAAGGTGACCACGAAATGATAGAGAAATTACGGACCGCGTATGGATCAAAGTCAGAATGAGGTGCCTTTCCTTTCAATAATCTGCGTATAAGTTTAGCCTCATGTTTTGTCAACTCCACTTCCTCATCATTATATTCATCATATATTTTGCGCCTGATAGAATAATCATAAATGAATAAAATGAATAAAAATAAATCCCCATGTTCAGCATTTGAAGAATGTCTGTCCAAATGGAGGATCAGTTACATTCTATGAAGCACGGATGCTCCAAAAATGTTGTTGTACAAGTATCAAGTGCAGGTATGCATACCGGGTACACCGTATACGGTCTGGAGAAGTTGGGTACTCCATGGGTATAGGGTGGGTACTCCATAGCAGCTGATTTTTTTTTTTTTTTTTTCCACAGGTTGGAATTGATGCAAGTCCACAGCCTTATTCCTCTTTAATCATCTTCAAAAATTTTAGGTAATTTGGAACCACCACCAACTCTTTACACTGTTATTGAGTAACTTTACCTCTTCTACTTATTATTTTGTACTTAGTAGACAATTAGAATTATATAACATAAAAAGTAAAAAAAATGATATTTCTAGGAATATTGAAAATTATATTCACTTTGTTTGGTTTTGATTTTCAGAATTCACTTTTTAAAAAATTATACCTTTTTGTTTTTCATATTTTTTTATTTTCACTGAATTTTTTTAATATTTTAAGCAATTTTTAAAATTTTAGATACACCTAACATAAATACACTTAAAAAGTATAATTTTTGTGAAAAAAAATCTTTAAAAAATTCAGTAAATACCAAAAATACAAAAAAATACGAAAATTCAGTATATTTTTCATATTTTTGTGTATTTATTAATTTTTTAAAATATTTTTTCACAAATATTTTACTTTTTAGATATATCTAAGTAAGGTGCATCTAAAAAAGTAAAAAAATTACTTAAAATTTTAAAAATATTCACTAAAAACAAAAAAACACGAAAAACAAAAAATCCAATTTTCAAAAAATTGAAACCAAATACACTGAATGATATTTCATTGTAACTTTCAAAATATTGATGTTTTTAAATTGTTATTTGAATATTTGAAAATTATATACTTGAATGAAATGAAAGAATTCACAAATTATTATCTTAATGGTTATAGGGATATGAGTTCAACAGGTTCAGGATTTTACTTTAGTATTGTATTGGTATTGTTGAATATTGATTTATTTTTGGTTTTGTAATTTTTCTTTTTGGTTATTGTTTTAAACTTTGATTTGTAGATGGAATGTTTAGCTATAAATTTAAAATATATATATACATATATATATATATATTTGACGTACCCTAGCCGTACCCGTACCCGTACCTGTACCTTTAGATTTTAGCATATTGGCATACCCATACTAGCACCTGTGCTTCATAGGTTATGTCGCATAAATTTCATGGTTTTTTTTTTTTTTTTTAACCTAAGATGTCCTTCCTATTTCATAAAAAGCAAAATCCAAAAGTAAATCTTAAACTCTAGAGAGCATGGAAAGAAACATGCGAAGTCATCATATTCATACACACAACACAGCCCTGAAGCTTGCATTCCATTGTCATCACAGTTGAGAACTCACCAATTTTTTGAGTCATCAGCACTGGCAAGAAATGAATCCAGCTTATCTTGTCTCTCTTTTTTTTTAATCTTCTTTCCAGTGATGTCATACCCAATATGTTCCTCATCCTTGTACCACACCAGCGGAACATCCCCAATTGTATTACGAGGAGCAACCTATTTTGAGAAAAGAAAATTCAGTATTAAACCACAAAGAAGAAGACTAATTTATCATGACATGGCAATATCCAATCAACAATGCGGGCCCAATCCATGTATCAAAAATTGAGCAGTAAAATTAAATTGAACCATGGAGTTGCCAATATTGGAAATGGAAGTGGAAAATGATACAAGAAACAGAAACATGAAATGTGGTCCGAAAATATTATGAGAAACATGAAACACTAGTTGATATAAGATCAAATAGAATATTTATAACAAAAATTATTAAAAACATTAAAAAAAATAAAATGTAACACCCTACGTATTATTGCTTGACATGAATACATTTCTATTTATACTTGAATGCCTAAACTTGAACTAGTTTATTTGTTATATAGAAATTCTTTTGAGACATACTTTGGTGAAATATGGAAATACCATAATTTTGAAGTGCTGGATATGAACTTTTATATGAATGAATTGGAAGCTGGGGGTACAAGATTGAGAAGTATTCCTTTGAACATAATATGCATTTTTGTGTTTTCAAATCCTTAAATAAGGTGCTTAATTAGTGTTCATTTAAGATAATCAAGTGATTAGTTGAAATGAAGTAGGCACAACTTACCCTTGGGGTGCCACCTCCTCACATGGATATATGACTATTATAGATACAAGTGTCTGTGCTACTAAATAAATCAAAGAAAAACAACAGAGGAGAGAGAAAATTGCTGAAAAAGAGAAGAAGAAAGACAAAAAGAGAAGAAAAGACGATGGGAAAGCATAATTTTAAGACTTAGGATAGTTTCTAGCTTAATTCAAAGTAAGATTTTTGCTCCTACATCACTATATGATCATTTGATTGGACAATTTGTACTAAAAATGAATTTTAGAAGGAAAATGAGAGGAAACAAGTTTCAAAGATGAATTTCTTGGAAATAAATGCTTTGATTTGGATAAGTCCCAAGTATTTGTGTAAAAATGGATTTCATGGAGTTCCTTTTACTTTGTATGGCTTAAGAATGATAAATTTCATGTTTTTGGATTTTGGAAGATAGGCATTCGAGCTTGGGATGGCTTGAACTCGAAAAAAATTAGCTAAGGATTGTTTCAGCAGAACCTCGCTCTAGCGCGCTAGCTCAAAAACCCACAATTGCACTGTCTTGGCCCAGTTTGACCGCCCTGTCCCATTTTTGGAAATTTTCCTCTTTTGACCTATTGGTACCATTTCTAACATTTGAAACTTGTTTCAGGCACCGTTTGGGAAGGTGGGTTGGAGGCTTTTTTGGCTATTTTAGCCACAAAAAACAAAATAGGCTATTTTAGCCATAACAAACAAAACATCACATCCAACCCATAATCATTACATTCTTCTCTCACAAAAAAACTCAAAAAAGCCAAAAAGCCCTTCCCAAACCAAGCTTTTAAGCCCAGGCTAAAATAGCCAAAAAAGCCAAAAAGCCAAAAAGCCAACCCACTTCAGAGAAGAAGAAAGACAAAAAGAGAAGAAAAGACGATGGGAAAGCATAATTTTAAGACTTAGGATAGTTTCTAGCTTAATTCAAAGTAAGATTTTTGCTCCTACATCACTATATGATCATTTGATTGGACAATTTGTACTAAAAATGAATTTTAGAAGGAAAATGAGAGGAAACAAGTTTCAAAGATGAATTTCTTGGAAATAAATGCTTTGATTTGGAAAAGTCCCAAGTATTTGTGTAAAAATGGATTTCATGGAGTTCCTTTTACTTTGTATGGCTTAAGAATGATAAATTTCATGTTTTCGGATATTGGAAGATAGGCATTTGAGCTTGGGATGGCTTGAACTCGAAAAAAATTAGCTAAGGATTGTTTCAGCAGAACCTCGCTCTAGCGCGCTAGTTCAAAAACCCACAATTGCACTGTCTTGGCCCAGTTTGACTGCCCTGTCCCGTTTTTGGAAATTTTCCTCTTTTGACCTATTGGTACCATTTCTAACATTTGAAACTTGTTTCAATCATAAAAGGACTTTTAAACAACACTTTAAACCCTAATTTATGTGAGATGAACTTAGATTGAGAGGAGGAATTATTTAATTAAGATGTTACCCTAAATTTTGTATAATTAAGATCTATACCAATGTGCATTGTCCCATTTTATGTTATGCAGGCCAACAAATTTTGTGGACTATCATACTTTTCAAGACTTAAGGTGAGTCAATGTTATTAAAGGCGACAGGCGCACTGAAGCGGCAAGGTTTCCTAGGGCCTAGGCGTAAGGCGCAAGTTTTGTCGAAGCAAGGCTCTTATTAACGATAAAAAATAGATAATTTAATATAAGCAAATAATTGAAGGTTCAACACAAGTAAAATGAAATATTAAATATTTTAAAACATAAATACCAACAAACATCAATATTTTATCATAGACAAATAATTCAAGGTTCACATAAATACAAACATCTAATTTATAAATCATATTTTTTAAAAATAGCGATTGAGGAGATGAAGAAGAAGAATAACGGCAACTATTAATCTGGTTGAAGAGAAAGCTCTATCCAACCAAAGTCTTTGTATAATTGCTCAAAAGTATTGGGTTGCAATGTATGTTTAGGGATTTAATCCCTTGTAGCCACATGTAAACAAAAAAACAACGAGATTAAGTGAAATTAGGGTTGTAATTGTAATAAATAAAAATTTTAAAAGAAGCACACAAGTCGTGCGCCTTGAGCCTAAGCCTAAAGCGCACACTTCATGCGTTTTTATGGGGACTATTTTACATTGCCTGGCTTGAGATGTTCCAAAGTGCACTAACTACACTTTGGGCCTAGGCACGCCTTTAATAACCGGACTAAAAGTTGTCGTTATTCTTCTTCTTCTTCATCTTCATCCAACATCACCTCCCCATTCTCCTTCCCCTTCTCTATGCTTATCTTGTAAGACACTTTGATTTCATTGTTATTTTCAAATGCTTATGATTTATGAGTTAGATAATTGTGTTTATGTGCAACCTTGAATGATTTATCTATGATAAAATATCGGTACCTGTTGGTATTTATGTTTCAAAATATTTAATATTACGTTTTGCTTATGTGAACCTTGAAATATTTTCTTTTATTAAATTATTTACTTTTTAACCTCAACATGTGCTTCGCCTTAAGCCTAGGCCCTAGGAAACCTTGGTTCTTCAGTGCGCAATGTTTCTTCAAAGTTAGTTTTGAACTTCTATTTTGAATACTATTGTATTAAAATGCTTGAGAACAATGGGTGTCCTATTCAAAAATATATATATTTATTATTGTTGAAAAATAGAATTTAAGATCAAGAAAAATAGTAGATATTCTGAGAAATGCATTTCTAGGGAATTTCCACAATTTTTTGACAAGTTTGATAAATTGTGTTAGATTCTAAAATGCCTTAGAAAAGTTTGTGAGAATAGAAAAGTTTGTGAGAATTTTGTTTCCGTTCCTCAAATGAGATTCCAAGAAAAGGAGTTTCCCATCTCAAAGAGAGTTTCTTGGTAACTATGGAACTATCTTCATGATTTAGTTAAGAAGCAAGACAACATGTACTTGGTTGTGCTGTTTACTCTTTGAAAATAGCATAGAATCTCTTTTAGGAACTTGATTCGTAATACATATCAAAAGGCATAATGAAAACCAAAAAGCACATCTGGCCTTCTGATTGTATCTATGGACATAAATCAACTCTTTACTCCTAAAAGATACCCAAAATAAATAAATACAACAGACCTCATCTTCAGATGAATCACTCTCGTCTACTCCTTGATGGTCTTCATCACTTCCATTTTGATCTTGTTGTTCACTATGATCATCATTAGTACCCTCATGATCTTGCTGACTGTTATCATCATCATCAGTTGGCCCATCATCATCACTTGTATTAACTATCTCCTGCTATAATCACCATTAAAACCATTAAGAACTACAAAAAAAGGCCCAAAAATAAAACCCCCCCATCATCATAAACTAGAATAGAAGAAGTAACTTTTTTCATGATATTTAAAAAATGGTGGAATTACTGCGTACCTCATTTTCGGAGAATTCACTCTGTTCCGATCCTGATTCTGTCAAAGTGCCCTCATCCTCATCCAAATCCTAGAACCACATAAACTAAATCATTGAACACCCAAAAAATGAATCTTTAAACATATTAGAGTTCTTTTTTTTCCTAAAAAAGCAAAAAAGTACACCGCATCGGCATCGACATCGGCATTGTAATCTATCTTAGTTCAAAAATTCTACTGAGATAACCTCCAAGTCCCAAATTCAGGGCTAGGAATCTGTGCTTTTGCAGCTAAAGTTGAACCACCATGCACATAAACAAGATATATGTACAGAGAGAGAGAGAGAGAGAGAGAGAGAGAGAGACAGACAGACAGAGAAAGAATATAACAGAATTAACTGAATTGAAACTATTACGTTTCACTAAGTTTTGCTATCAAAGGAGAATTAAGAGGCTTCAGTTTTGATTTTCAAATTTCCTACATTTTCCGAGTAACCAAACAAAGAAACAAGGCAATAATAAGTACCTCATCATTATAATCATCATCGTAATCGGAACCAGAATGAATTTCCTGAGCATCATCAGCATCATCTTCTTTGTCATCTATTTCTATGTTTGTTACATTCTCTTCTTTCTTTTTGGGCTTCATCTCTTTCTCCTCCCGCGGCACCTTCATTCTCTCTCTCTAGAAGAACACAGTCTGAAGGATGATGAGAGAAGCTAGGGTTTTCGTTTTCGGAGGTTTTGGGACAAATACGGGAATTCGTTCCCGGGTCGGTTCCGGGTAGGGCAACGACTGTATAACTGTATAATTATATGACCCGACCTTAACCCACCCACCCATATGTAAAAAAATAATTTGGGAAAAAAAGCCAAATACAGGCTTGTTTTGGAAAAAAAAAAAAAAGAAAAGAAAAACTAGTTTATTGGATTTTATATATTATTAATTAATTTACTTATATTTATATATAGTGGAATCGTGCTCTAACCTAAATCAATCCAAGCTGTATTGGGTTAAATTGCATTGGTTTTGAGTGTCAAACTGACATATAAACACCCCCAACACACTAGTACCTATATGGTTGTCGGGTCGCGTTAGTTTGGAATAGTAGTTCGTATTAAATATGAAGTTTTGGGTCGCCCAAGCTAGACATTATCGTGGATATGGGTTAAGTTTTGGGTTTGGACCTCCCTTTCTCTCTAACTATTAAAAAAACGACACTCAATCTATAAATTCAAATTTAACTATTAAAAAAACGACACTCAATCTATAAATTCAAATTTAAAAGTCTGTACTTTAAAATATTTTGCCTATAAAGACATGCTCCTATAAAAGTCTAAACCGTAATGCTCCGATTATATAACCATTAATTACGGTGTTACTTCAATAATAATTTGATTTCTTTAAAAAGATACCAAGACATTATAGAACACACACATATATATATCCCAGGCATCAGAAATAATCTCTTCCCCATTGAATTATTTAAATGGTTACATCATTGTTCAATTACATTCATTCAGTAATATTAAGAGTTCAAAGAGTAAGAGATAATATAAAATATAAATGCCCTGAGGCAAACATCTTTTCAAGGAGTGCCCTTGAATACACAAAATGAAATTTTGTTACCAATACAAAAATAGTCTGAGGCTTCAACATATATCACATAAAGGAGCCTTCGTGCTCCCATTAAAAAATGTATCTCAATGCCAATCACTTTGGTATCATCCCAGCTTCATCTCTTGAAAGGTTGCTAAATTTGCGGTGAGCAATTGCCTAGTAGGAAATACCATTAATAAGTTATATAATTAATTGAAGTATATATGATCATGACATGCAAGAAATGAGCAAATACAAATATCTTTCTTTTGAAAACCATAAAGTTAAATCGTGAAATGCCAATAACAAATATCAACCAAACATGGGGTGTAAATAAGCTAGGACTTCCCAAGCTAGAGTCTCAACACCACACATATGCATATGTAGAATGATTTGTATTAAGTAGCCTCATATTTGACGACTCTAAAATGGCCGGGCGGTGGACACCCAAGACATTTTTATTCCACATTTGTCAACTCTAGAAACGGCGGACTCGTGGACGTCCTAAAACTTTTCCTACATTCGTCCGATGATATGCACAAGACAAGGCAATTAAGCACCTTGACTCCCCACGCGAGTACCAATATACAATACACCACTTAAATCAAAACCTAACTCACAACCTGGACTCATACCTTATTTACCCCCTTCCAACACTTTCCAAACATTAACATTTAAAGTCACAAAGTATATTTATAAATGCATATGATGCATAAATTTCCAAATCTTAATTCCCCTAAGGTGGTTTTCAATTCACAACAATCTAATAATATAAACATTCATAATCGAAAGAATTCTCCAAGTCACAATCATCACCATCACATGGTTATTTGTTAAGAAGTTTCAAAATCTCATATTCCAACATCAAAGTCAAGCCACTACACCCAATTTCAAAATTCAAGAGTCAATTGAACAAATTCCCCTTTATTGAACCAATTTGAAAACTAGGGTTTTAGGAAAATTAGGCCAATCCTCATCATCAACAACAATAATCATAAAAAATGTACATAAACTCTTCCAAAAATCAGGAGGTGTAGCCCCTTTTTTCATCGAAATCATTTTGTAACACAAATACATTTCTTAAATCTTGATAACTAATGAAAATAACACATATGTGTATCAAATCAAAGATATAACAAGTTAAAAGTATCCTTACCTCAAGATTAAAAACGAGGAATGAAGACCCAACTCTAAGCTTCAAACCAAAATCTAGCTTGTTCTTCAACCCTCTTTGAAGATCTAGGGTGAATCTTGAGTAAAACTATAAGAAATCAAGGTTGTGTTTGATTAAGCTTTCCAAACTCAATTTCACCCCTTAGTTTGAGCCATGTGTTTGGTTACAATTTCAAAAATTGATTCCACACCCATCTGTGAAAACACGTCTACCCGGTCATCCTCCCGGACGTCCTCTTGGACATCTGGCCGATTGACCAGAACAGTGTTCGTGTTTTTTTTTTTTTTGGCACCTGTTATTTTAATATTTTAAATAAAAAATATTTTCTAATTTTTTTTAAAAAAAAATTATGAGCTTTGAATAGAATTTTGAGTTGTGTGTTCGGTTATGAGTTGTAAAATTTTGAATCAAATATCATATGCCACATCAAAAATTTCAAACTCAATTCAAAACTCATAACTAAACAAATTTTTCACACTCAAATCATAATTCTAAAACTTACAAACTCAAAATACAACTCTATTATCAAATTATAATTCTAAAAATCTACCAAACGCTACCTAAGTGTTTTAGGGTTAGAGTTTCAGAAATGGGTGTTAGAGAGAGAAAATATGTGAAAAAGTGTGAGAGAAATGGGTTTAGATCAACTTTTAAATGTGTTGTCCTGAACAAATCGCTCGAGTGAACTTTTCACTGCTCGAGCAAAGTACACAAAATTAAAGAGACTGCTTGAGCAAACTTTCCACCGCTTGAGCGATAAATGCAAGGTCTCAGAAGTTTTGCAGAGCTACAGTGAAAATACTGGGAGCCTCATTTCTACGCTAGAGCGACCACTTTATCGCTCGAGTGGTCTCACCTACAAACAGGCAATATACTAGGAACTTTTCATCATTACTTGATTGACTGATTGACCGCTCGAACAGTCACCTAGAATAGATTGTTACATAAACTACCCCAGGTATATATCATATACATTCTCATCAACCCTCCCAAATCGACTATCTCTTTTTTTCTTTTTCCAAATCGACTCTCTCTTACCTCATCAATCGTCCCAGCCTCACTGATCTATTGTTGGTAAATGATTCGCAGCATGGTTGCAGCCGATGTCAACGGCAGCGCGTGAAGAGGATGACCAGAGCTGGAAAGAGAAGTGTGGTGGTATGGGCGTTCTTGAATGACATCATGAGATAGTAGTATATTCGAGATGTCAAAGGTTTTCGAAGACAAAGAGAATGTGTCCCTGGTGATGACTACGACATGAGAACAACGCATAATCTGAAACAATATTAATGTGTCTCTCATCTCTTCATCCTTGAAACTAAAAGCGAGGGAGCGACGGCGGTGAGCGACATCCTAGAACTCTCTTCCTCTCATTTTCAGCTCCTTTTATCTTTCTCTAGAATTCTCCCTCATTCTTTAGTCACTTTGGGGTGCCCATTTCGTTTGAAAGAGTCTTTCTTTTTTCAAATCAATCCATTTTGTGTGTTTCTCATTATTTCTTTGAATTATGTTGTATTTGAACACAGATCCAACACAAATCTAATAGATCTACTTTCTTTTTTCTTTTCTTTTTTTAATCTAAATTGTGGTTGTTAATGATCTGATTATATTTTTTTCTTTGTTGTTGTTGTGGGGATTGAGAATTAGGGTTTTGGATCTAAAAGAGGGAGCCCAAATTAGAGAGAGAGAGCTCGGTCTTGTGTTTTTCATTTTTGATAGAAAGATTCAATTTGGCCTTGTGTTCTTCAATCAGTGAACATACAAAAAAATTTGAAAGTGAACAAATAAAAAATTATTATTGAACTGTTCAAAATTTGAATTAATAATGGCTTAGTGTATTTAAATAACAAAGAATTGAATAAACAAAAATAAAATGGAAAATAAATAAAAAAAACAACAACAACAAATAGCATTTAGGGGGAAAAAATTGAACAAATAATAGGATTTGGACAGATAAGTGAAAATTTGAATTGATAATAAAATTGGATAGATAAGGTAAAAGAAATTGAACAGATAGTTAAAAAATATTTGAACAGATAGTCAAAAAAATTCAATAGATAAATTAAGGGATAAAATTATGAATAAAATATCCTCTAAAACAACAAAAGAACTTCTTACTAAACTATTTCACAAAAAGATGGACTTCTAACTAATAAAAAATATCCACTGGATTAACGCCTTACGTAATTGCTAGATTAGACTTTTCAACAATTTTCTCTTAAAAAAATAAGGAATAATCGTGGGCCAGTCCCATTAAGTGGACTTAAAAACCATTTAGTCATGTTGACCTTTTAAATCCACCAATAAATCCTTCATTACCTATATTATCTTCATTAATGTCTTTTTCGATTATATTATCTTTTATTTTTTATTTTTTTTTCTTCTTCTATGTATTCTCCATGATGCTTTTCTTTTTCCTCTTCCTCGTCTCTTTCTCTTTGCACCTTTCCCTAAAGAGGTTCAAACCACCACCGTCTACCGCCACTGTCACCATGGTCGTCCACCCGCCACTTACCACTGTCGCCACCACCTCATTGTTCGATCGTCGCCATCGTTCACTAACGATTTCTACCATTTTTTATCTTCACCATCATCGATGTACACTTCACCATTGTCGATCTATACTATACAATTTTTGATTTACACGTCACCGTTACCAATCCACTATTACTGTTCACCAACCACCACTACCATTACTGATCTACACTGTCATTGTTCAGATCTGGCCATTTACAATGTTGATCTAGTATTGTAGTCATCTTTATCATCAAGATATAGCCATTACATGGTTGCTGAAGCTCTTTTTAGTGAGATCGGGTCTCTCTCTCTCTCTCTCTCTCTCTCCCACTTTCCCCCTCTCTCTATACTATGTGATAGATCTCCATGAATTTGTTGGTAAAGATCTAGTTAAACCAAATCCATTGTTTGTAAAATCTAGGTAAATCTAAAGTGATAA